GCTTCATAGTTCTTCAGATTCTATACTTTTCTTCGTAGAATATTCGCGAAGAGGCTGTTGCTGTCCTGTTGTCATAAGAGAATATTTTGCTGTCGGGGTTTTAAGTAAACGTGTACATTGATCAGGAGCAAAGTTTCATTTTTTTAATGTCTTTTTTATGTATTTTTTTATTTCGGATTTTATTCTCAGTATTGACAATGTTGAGCTGTAACCTTAAGGAGAAGCAAGTATTCCTTGTTTATTGGTTACAGACTATGTTTTTGTGCTGTTACAGTTCTGTTGAAAAATTGGTTCTTGACGTTACTTAAGAATGACATTTCTGGAAGGGGTTTCTTTGATTTAACCGGTGTAGACAGGAAGAACTGATGAGTATTGCAGGAAAGTGAAGAGATCTTAACAGTGTGTTAGAGACTCTGTGGAAAACTTTTGGTTGGAAATATATTATTTCTTTTAAGTTTCTCCAAAATACTGCTTACTGAATGCCTTCTGTGAGTTAAATGTTTTTTCTCTAAAGGTTTCTGCACAATTTTAGGGAAGTTGTTGCTCAGGCTGAATTTGAAAATATAAAACGAAAGTAATAAATTAGTAATTTTTCCTGGTCATTGTGGAACTGATTAAACATGCACTCAAAAACTGCAGAAAAGCCAAGTCTTAAAACGCTCTGTTTCTGTCTTATTATATTAGTTCCAATGGCTCAAAGTGCTTGAAGTGCGGAAGCAGTAAATATTTGAACCATTATTCACCGGAGTGTTGATATGCTGATGAGAAAATGAACTTTATGCATTAGTTTTCTGAACAGTGTTGCTTCGTTTTATAGATGGATATTCGTGTAATCTCGCTTTTGAAAGTTGATGGTCATGACTAGATTTCATAAATCATTGCAATGCTGACGGTCACTGAATAAAATTGGAGAATGTGTTTAATTTGGTTGTCTTTCGATGTGTTTTCGCCTTCTTGTACCAGCTCATTCTTCTTTTGTGTTAAGTACGGTTCTCCTTCGTACGGGCCGATAGCCGAGAAAATGAATTATTATTTAGGCGCGGCATGTTTCCGGCTTATGCTAGCGAATATGCTAAAGACGAATGTTGGAGAACAACACCATCAACATCGGCAGAGGATGGAAGTGGTCGTCCGTCGTGTTCTTACGGGTCTTTTAGATCTGTAAAAAAGTTAACTGAGGAAGAAGACAGAAGGAGAAGGATACGCGAGTTACGGGAAACTGAAGAAGCGAAAAAGAAGCGAGAGAAACGAAGAAAAGAAGAACGGAAAAGACAAGCACTGTCTAGACATAGTATCAAGGTTTCTGTCTTCATGTTATTATTTAGTGCTGTTGGTAAAAGAAAGCCTATGCTCCATTTATTTTTTGTTACGCCATTCTCGTTTTTAAAATTTTGCGTAACGGATAGAATTAGTTTTCACGGTATGGCAGTTACAAAACTTTAGATGGTCGCATTGGATTCCGATGATGACAGTGACGGTCTAGAGGTCAATGAAGAGGGATTCCGCAGCTTTGAAAAACTGTATAAACAGAAAAAGTCAAGTTCGTCTGATTCGGATGATGACAGTGTAACACCCTCTGCTTCGCAGATTCTATCGGTTAGGAAGTCTATTTTTCTGAACTGGTATTTCTGAATTTGTTGTTCATGTCTCTGTTTATTTTAAGTGCATTATTTAATTTTGCATCAAGGATCTTAGTATCACTATTTCAGCAAAATGTTGAATGGTCTTTTTTAAGACTAAAAGATTGGGATCCAAAAGTCCTAACTTCTTTTGTAATAAACGATTTTACTCCGATTAGAGGAAATATATTTTATGACAGTCTTCCTAAAAAAGAAGTTTCTGATTATCATTTGTCTGTGTACAGGCTTGTTGGCGGAAGCGAGGAATTAAGTCGGTATGACTTGACTTATTTCATAAGATAATTTTGTAGTAAACAATAGTTTTTAGCAGTTGCAAACATTCAGATTTTTTAGCTTAATATTCCCTTCAAAGGAAAGGGGAAGAAAAATTAAACGCTACTTTTCTGACAAAGTTTTTAACTCCTGGAGTGATAACCCTATAAAGT